GGGGGAGGAGGGGGACGGGGAGGGGGAGTTGGGCAGTACCGACAGGTAGTAGCCGCAGTAGTAGTGGGGCAGCAGCTACATTAGGCAGTTCGAGAAAGGGGGCCCGTCCCCTTGGGGGGACAGCCCGGTCATGACTTTGCTTTCCGTGAGCTGTCAAGAGTTTCAAGGGGCGCCCTGAAGGCGGGCCGTCCGGTTGGGAAGAGGCAGGCCAGCCTCCAATACCATACTAGCTGCCAACCCCACTTACCTTATCTTACCTAGCTTCCCCCTTGGCCCCTCTCTCATCTCTCATTAACGATCCGGAAGGACCCACGGGTCACTTCCAAGCTGCCAGATGTGGTGCTCTTCGCGGGCGGCTCCGAAAGCCTTTCCCAGGCGCTCACGCGACTCCAGGTACGGCCGGCCCGTACGTCTGTATGTACGTATTGGTGTCTATGCCCAAGGTTAGGGCAACCTGTGTTTTTTCGTGTGTGTGTGTGTGTGTGTGCATGTGCATGTGCATCCGTTGTTGCCGTTGGCCCACACTGCCCGGCTATCGGCATTTCCGTGTCCCAGTCTGTTTCGGTGAGGGCAGCCTAAGACACCTTAGAAAAAGGTTAATATGGGATCCGGGACTTCGGATTTTTTTGAGGAGAGGTGAGGAACCCGGGGAACTCGGCTGGCTGCAATGCAGGGCGGACTGCGTCCACATGATCCAGGATCGTGGCGTACGGCACTCGCACGGTACGACGGTGTGAAATTAAGATACGCACATTACGTTTGGCTTTGTTGTATGTCTCCGCTCCCTGGCTTACCTGACTAAGTCTTTACCTGGCCTAGGTTTGTTTCGTTCCAGGCGTCCGCCCCTCTTCCTCCTCGTCCTCTTGTCCCCTCGCCCCCTCTTCCCCCCTCTTCCCCTCGCCCCCTCTTCCCCCCTCTTCCCCTCTTCCCCCTCTTCCTCCTCTTCCCCCTCTTCCCCCTCTTCCCCCTCTTCCTCCTCTTCCCCCTCTTCCCTTGTTTTCGGTTGCCCTTCCGCCCCAACGCCCCGTTTGGGGGTTTACTCCGCTGTCGGGGTGGGACGGACAGCCTCGGAGGGACTTCCGGCCTTCATTGCCACCGAAATATCTTCGGAGGTGTTACCTGTTTTGGATTATGGCCTCCCCCCGCCCCTAACGCCGCCCCTACCCCCGCCTCTTCCCCTACCCTTACCCCCGCCCCTACCCCCGCCCCTACCCCTACCTTCCTGGAGCACAGCCGCCTTCCCTGGACTCCGGACGGCCGCGGGCTGGCCGTGTGGGACACCGTGCAGCTGCTGCTCGGTCGCTACGACTCCGACAACTTCCTCTTCGTGTACTTAGTGCTCGTCAACCAGTACGTCACGACAGTACGACAGGTACGACAGGGGTATAGTAGAGCGATATGCTTGATCTCGCTCAGTTCGCGTGCAGCCGCAACCGTCGCTGCAGCTGCTGCCGCCGGTGCAGCGCCTCCGTTTATTGTCATCCACCCCCGGGTCATGACTGTGTGGTGTTGTGTCTGCCGTAATAGCACCTGCCGACATTTCTATCATCCCTACTTTGCTCCCCACCACCACCGCCACCGCCACCACCGCCACCACCACCGCCACCACCGCCAGGGTACTCCCCCGCTGTCCACCCCCCCCCCTCCCGGTGATACCTTTCACTCGGTGGTTTTCGTTTTCTCCTTACCCCTCCGTTGTCGTACACGTCGCCCATCTGATTCTGTAGTACAGCTTCACTGAAGTCTACACACGCACGCCTCCCCAACGTTCAACCCCAAGGAAGTCCCGCCAGGCCCAGCTCTACCTCGTAGCCTTTCTACGGCCCCCCCCGCCCCCTCGCCGGCACCCACACCCCAGCAACCCCCACTGCAGTAGCCGCCGCCCGCGGTGGTGCCTGGGCCACCCCTAAAGCCAACACCAAAAAACGACCCCCTCAACTTGTACGGCAAAACCCAGGTCGCGGACACCACCAAGGGTTTCGATCTGCAGTCCCTCATCTGCATGATCAAGAATTGCGGATCCAAGTGGGTGATGGTTGGCGGTTGGCGGTTGACAGTTCGTGGGCTCGGTTTTTTCAGGGGCATGGAGCGACCTGTAAACTTTATTTTGTTTAATGTTTAATTTAAGAACGTCTAATGGATTGTCAGTAACACCCTGAAATCAAACCAAAACGCGCAACAGCCAACTACCCGTACTCGCTTGTGCATCCCCTCCAAACCGCCAACCGCCAACCGCCAGGGTGGTTGGCTGCGTTCAGGACCCCACTTGCAAGTCGGCACTGGACTGCTTGCAGGCTTGCACTTTCAACGACCAGGTACGGCTTCAGTACGGCAGTAAAACCGGGAAGACAAACGTGACAATCGGGAGATCTGGGCCCAACAGGCAGTTGGGGCCCTGGCTTGAGCGGTGAATGCCATAACACCCCTGTGTGTTTCTGTGTGTGTGTGTGTGTGTGTGTGTGTGTGTGTGTGTGTGTGTATTGGCCATCGTGGTGTGACCACCACATGACACCACACCACCCCCCATTACGTCCCCAGGTGTGCCAGTACCGCTGTATAGTCAGCTATGAGAGCCCCCTCCTGGAGCAGTTCAGCCTCTGCATCTTGCAGCTACACAACTGCCGCAATCTGGACGCAAAGCCGCCCCTGCTGCCAGGTACGTACGTGATTTACGTGCGTGTGTGTGTGCGTGTGTGTCTTGACGGACCTAAAGGGATGCCGTGTATGTACACGTGTGCGCGTGTTTTACATGGCAGGGGCTACTGATGTCACCAGAGGGTGTGGGGGGTGAAAGATACATACATACATACATACCCTAACCCGCACTCGACGCCCCTCCCCCACCCGTCAACATCCCACCAGACCCCGCGCCCATGGCCTCCTTCCGCGGCGCCCCGCTGACCCATGGGTCAGCTGAGGAGCTCTTTTTCGGCTGGCTGGATGAGCCCCGTCAAGGCGCCCCGGCGTCGAGCCTCCTCGGGGACCGCAAGGGCAAGCCGTACAGCTGGCTGGTGGCGGCAGGTACGGCAGCGGCGGCGGCAGCGCTAATGACTGGGACGGATGATTCCGACGTAGCTAGCTTGGGACGGAGCGAGAGGCGGTGTGCGCTATGGGGACCGTGCGATTGGGGGCGGTAGAGGGAGGAGAGGGGAATAGGTCTGCGGTCGCGGCATGTGGAGTGCATACGGACGGGCCGGGGTAATGGTACCACCGCCACCACTGGTGTATGATGTGCAGCTGGAGGTGGGGACGGAGCTGCCTGTGGACCCGCGTGTGACTAAGATCCGGAAGGCAGGATGCCATCACCATCACCACAACAACACCATCACCACAACAACACCAACACCAGCACCATAACCGCCCCTCCTACCACGTTCCTTCTTCCGCTCCTGCCGCGCGAGCTGTGGTCCCTTACCAGCCGTACTACATTCCTCCCCTTTTCGCTTCTCCCGCCGCCAAACCCCTCCCCTTCCCCCTCCCTCCCATGGCCCCGCCCGCCTCAGGCAAGAACCCCGCGTACGACTACTTTCCGTGTCAGCACCAACTGTACTACAAGGGTAGAGGTCGTGGGCAGCTGTGGTACGAGCCGGTGTTCAAGGCCATAACGGTGGATGGGAGGGAGGTGTGGCGTCGCAGGGTTTACCGTGTACGACAAGGGAAGGTGAGAGGGCGGCCCCTGGCCGGGTGGGTGGGTGGGCGGGTGGGGGCGGTGTTGCGGTGATCGGCCCATCCGCCCATCTGGCGGTCGAGGGAAGCTCAGTGGCCCGGGGGCCCTCACCGGGTAGGCAGAGCGATAGGAGGCACATCTTGCCTCCCAGCTATACGGCATGTGATTGTCTGTCTGTCTGTCTGTCTGTCTGTCTGTCTGTCTGCTAGTATAAATTCTATCCGTCCGTCTGTCTAAGACACGCCAGTCAGCCAGTTGCCCACCTTCCGAACTGCATCTTGCCCTCGTGCTGTGTGATTGTGATTAGTATATGGTGGTGTTGATGTGTGTGTGTTTGTGTGTGTGTGTGTGTGTGTGTTTGTGTGTGTGTGTGTGTGTTTATGTGGGCGCACCCGGTCGCAGTGCGCATGGGACCGTTAGGTCTGCAAGCAAAGTGCATGGATAGGATTAGGACATGCGCACTCTGCTCGCAGGTTCCCGGCACCTTCCACTTGTCGGTTCTGGACAATGGCGTCACCTCCAACGAGTTCTGGCGCATTCTGGATTGCCACGAGGGACTGGACTACTGCCTCTTCTATTACAGCGGGGCGGCGTCCACGGCAGGTGAGGATTATCAATCGAGGGAGGGACTTGCCGGGCCGGGGGACAGAAATTACAGCCGGGCTACAGCCGCCGTCACAACAGCAGCGGCAGCAGCGTTAGCGGGGGCTGCGGCGTTGCAGGCGGGCTGGCAAGGCAGGTGGGATTTGGGTCACTATAGCACTTCGCCGGTAGTGCCGCTGCCGCTGCCGCTGCCGCCCCGGGGCCCTAGATGCGTCGAATCAGCGGGGCTGTCTTGGACTGTGTATGTATGTATGTATGTGCGTGTTACGCTCTGAGTTCCGTTACCCGCCTGAGGGGCCCCACGGGCACCAGACAAGGATGGACGGACGGACGGACTGTTGACTTTTGGGGTGAGTGGAGGGAATCTGGTCTGGATGCCGTCCTGGCCTCAGGACGAGCTTAAACAGCTGTAGGCTTGCAGGGGGAATCGAATGGGCCAGGCGTGCAGACACGGGTTACACACCCTCAGCCGTGTAGCGCACCCTCAGCCGTGTAGCGCACGCGTATATAAACACAGCTCCAGATACAGATAGATCTACACCCCGAGACGACCATCCCCCTGTAATGTTTTACAGGTCTGTCGTACAGCGGCGCCATCCTGGCAACCCCCGATGGCCGCATGCCGGGTCCGCAGCACACGGACCGCCTACATGGCGCGTTGCGGCGGGCGGGTATCGAGCCCTGGGAGCTCAGCTACGTGGACAACAGCAACTGCGAGGAGGCGCCCCTGAAGATCACCGGGCCTGTGGCACCGCCTGCACCCTCCGCCGCGTATTAAAACCATCCCAGTCGATGCCTCGCTGGGGGCATAAGGCCTTACAAGGCACTCAGCTAATTTCCTGTGCAGGCCTCTACTAATATCTGGCTTTACAGCTTTCGTCAGGGCGTCCTTCTGGGCAATGGGCAATGTAATTGCAAGGAAGAGGTAGTTGTCCAGAACTCCAGATGCGTGTGACCGATTGTTATGTAAACTTTCCTGGACGAGGGCGGTAGGGCGTGGGGATTGTCGTGTTGCCTGGCGCTGCCCAATGGGGTACGGCGGTGGAAGCAGGAGTTTTGGCGGCGACAGGGCTTGGTGAGTAGGGTAGGGTAGGGTAAAGCAAGCCCCATTTGATCCCTCGCCACAGTACTTCACCCAGCTGGTGCTGAACCTTAGTACGAGTGGATTTGGCCACTGCCAAACCAGCCGAACGTGCCACAAAACAAGAAAATAGACAGGGTAGCTGTATATCTTCGGGAGTTTGTGTCGCAAAGTTTGTATATACCCTTTGTATCGCGATCGCATTATTTTTTTCACATCCTCTCCATGAGCATCTCACAGAGATAATGAAGAGATGATCACTGTTGACGAGAATTACAGCATGGCGAGCATACGAGTACAACAGGGGACCCGCTCACAACGGAGCAAAGCACGGCACCAGCACCCCAGACCACCAGCACCCTCCTCCTCCACCACCAACGAACAAGTTAAACACTGCCCCCCATGGAGTTGTGTATATCACATCACCCAACCTGTCGGGGTTTATATCAAAGCCCCAGAACAACACCTAACTCTCAACGCCGAAACTCAAAGGCGAGGCTGGCGGTAATCTTCTGCCCCTTACCTTCCCATACCCTCTACCATTACCATGGCACTCCTCTAAACCGCCTGACCCCAAAAGCGGCTGTGCGGCACCAGGTAACGGCAGTGCTCTGCTCTCTCTCTCCCTCCCCCTCCCTCTCTCCCTCTGGCGGTCCACCGTATGATAGCATCTGCAGCATCTTACCCCGAAGCAATCACAGAACAGTAACACAGCTAAGATTAACAGCAGCACCAACAACACCTTGCAAGGAGCCCAAAGCCCAACTCTGTTTTTCCGCGCACCCCTTTCCCTCGGACCCTAGCCGCTCTTCCCATAAACCCCCAATCCTTTCGGTATCGCAGGGGGTGCAAAAGCACGAGAACGAAAAGTCCCCAAAAAGCTAACACATGCGATGGATGCAAAAAGGCGCACACGCGCTCCCTCACGCTCTCACCAACTCCCGCGACCCAGCCCCACTACTTCCATCCCGTTATGACCTTGCCAATCTCCACGAGAACTTCCCTCGCCTTCACCCAAGGCCCCAACTCCGCGTCTCCCCGCCGTCATCGCGGCAGCCTCCGGGCCTTCTCGGCCAGCTGCTAACCCCCCTTCCCCCCCTCCCCCAAAGTCCCACCTAGCTCCTCATGCCGGTTTCACCCACCCCCGTTCACCTGTTTCACCTGTTTACCACATCGCCACCGCCGCAGCATCGTTGACATCTTAGCAGCAGCCACCGCCGTCGCCAGCACTGCAGCATGCGCAGGAAATCTCCTTACTCGCCTCCGCTTCCGTTGCCTCGGCTGTTGCCCCGCCTCTCCTTCTTGAAACCGCTTCAACCGCCTGATGTGTTGCCCCTGCATTTCCAACCACACTCTCGAGCATCGCCCTCGCAGTCGCAGCAGTCGTCACGGCCTCTGCCGGTCAGTCGCTTCATGCCACGTCCCGACACCATCCAGCAGTCATGCAGGTGTGTGTGGCTGACGTACATAGCCACCACCACCACCACCACCTCCTCAGTGAGAGGGAGTTCTCCTCAGTCGTCTCCATCGCCATATCCGATAAGGCCCTGCAGGGACCCAGTGACCTGGGCGCCGGTAGCGGAGGGTTGCTCGTCCCGGGGATTAGCGCCACCGGAGGCTGCGGAGGCAGGGACGGAATCGGCAGCTGCGGCGCCGGGAGGCAGGGACCGACCCGTGGGTCCATGGGCCAGTGAAGGGGGCACAGCAGTCAGGAGAGGGGTGGCGAGGGGCGGGTGGAAGTGTCAGTGGGGGTCGAAAAAGGGACGGCGAGGGCCCATAAGTGGGGCCAGGGTGGGTGAGTATGGCACATGCCAAGGTGTGGTGGAGTCGGGGCGGGGGGGAGCCGAGGGCCGACAGCCGCTGTGCTGTGTGGGTGGGTAGCCGGCAGCTGTGTTGCGGCGGCCGCCGCCGCAGCTCTGCATCCGTCATACGACCGTGGGGGTCCATGGGGCCGTACCACCGCACGAACTTCCCCCTCCTCTCCCTGGCAGGGCTCGGAACCCCACCATCAGTTCGCTCCTCACAACACGCCGAGTAACCGCACAAACACGGAGACATCGCCTCGCCCATACACGTGCACCCCCGTGTAACCCCCTCACAACAGCACTAAGTACAGGGGGGCGAACACCGACACTGCAGCTCCCGGCTTTTCACACACCACGACACACAGGCACACACATTCTCATTCACCACGCTGGCCACGCCATGGAAGACACCCAAAGCCCAGCCTCAACCCCAAACACAGCGAGCAAGGAACCCGGACTTCCAAACCAACTTTCCAAACGTGAGTATTGAAGAGCCCCCAAAGGATCGCTCAGACGGACAGACAGACACACAGATGTACACACGCACAGTTGCTGTGAGCTGGTCACCAAATCCGTGCCTCCACCAAGCCGACCAGGTCAACCAATCAACCACCAACGAACCAGCCGTACATGCTGCATACCGACCCCGACATGTCCTCGCCCCTGGACAGCACATACAACCCAGCCAACCAGCTCGCCAGGGAGCAAACCAGCTGGACCAGCAAAACTCGAAAGCAAAACTTAAAAGCCTACCCCATAACACATTCCCTGCTCGGCACCCAGTCCGGAGCACAATGCCCACCCCCCAGGATGTGAACGACGCCACATGCCACTTGACACAGATCAACAGACGCACACAGAGGGGCCCCGGCCCGGGCTGCAAGTTACCCCCAACCTCACCCTCTGGTGCCCACATCATAGGGGCACCTTTGTCCCTACGCGGTGCCGCAGCCGGCCAGGAACAGACCCATGGGTCATAACCCAGATGTAACTTCCTCTCCAAGCCTCCTCACGTTACACAGACAGCACCACCCGCAAGAGACGCCGTCAGCCGTCGCCGTGAGACCCTCAAACACGGGCGAAACACGCGGCATCCCCACCAGCCACCTTTCCCCCGTGGCGGTGGCGCCTTTGATGAGGCCGCAACGCAGTTCGAACGGCTGTGGTTCAGTGGATGTGGCACACCGAGGTTGGACCCAGCGCTGCACCACCGCAAACAATACAATACGACATAACATACACAACAACGGCACCAACAACGCTGAGCCGCCATCGCTACCGCCACATCCCGCACCGGCACCAGCGCCCCCCTTCCCCCCGCGCACTGCCGCTGCCGCGGCGGCGTCCAGCGGCACCGCAAGAGCGCAGTGCCGTACCTCCTGGTCCCGTGGGTCGGCCGCCATGTCCAGACGCCGACGCGTCGCCACCACCAGGTCCACCGCTGCCGCCGCCGGCGGCGGCGGCCCCGGCCGTACCGCCAACCCCGCCAGGGGTGGCGGCGCGTCCCTTTGCCTGGGCGTACTGTGCGTAGGGGTTGTCTGGAGGAGGGGGGGAGGGACGTGCCTGCGCGAGCACACATATGGGCACGAATACACGCACGTGCGCACATACGTACACGCGCGACCACGCCGCGCCAAGCAAGACGAGGAGTATTCCACACGCAGTGCCGGTGGCCAGAGCATTCAGTTGCACGGCCGGCGGCATCAGGCGCGGCAACAAGCAGTACGGCAGTTCGTCAGTAACGTCGTCTCGTTGCGTCTCGGATGAGCAGTGAAGGACCCGGGGGGGGGGGGAGGAGACGAAAAGCCGCGAAAAAGGGTAAGAGGAGGAGGCAAGAGCGAGCTGGCACAATTTATTGTAAGCTGCAGAGGGGACGATTCTCAGGTCCCGCTTTGAAAGTTTATCAGCTCGAAGAAAATGCGGAGAGAACGTTCGCCCCTCATTCGCCAGCTCCAGCGGTAACGTTCAGTAAGGATAAACATCATCGCTCCCAAACACCCCTAATGCTTAATCAGTGCGCGCGGGGCCCCCTTAACACAGAGAGCGTGAAAGGAAGGAAGGGAGGCAAGCGGAAAGAGAGGAGAGGGAAGGGGGGAGACGCTTCGACAAGTTGAGAACCGTAACGCCGTGCACAGACTGACGCACTGAACTAGGGCCGTCATGTGTGCCCCATTGCGCCACTTCCGACACACGCACCTGCTCCCCCTCACGAGCTTCACGGAACCTGCGCTTCTGCGGGCCCCCAGCGGATGACTCCTTCTCCTTCTCCCCGTGGGACGCGGCGCCGGCGGCGAAGCTGCTTCCATATCCGTAGCCATACCCGTACCCCGGAGT